GGCCCGGATGGTGCCGCCGCGGACCTGGACTGCGCAATCGGCTCTAGTTCTCAGAGCGCCGAGCCAGCCATTCAAAATGCTTTTTTTCTTTTTGAAGCCAAAATCCCCAGAAAAGTAGAACAACCTGTTACCTCTCAGGGCCGGCAGAGCAACCCCCATTCTGGAAGTCAGCCATTGATACGATGTTTTTCGGGTTGTTTTTTAACTTTGCAAAAAACGTAAGTGCTTGTAGTAACGAAACAATCCAGAAGTGTGGCCCGCCTCGCCCCCTGTGTAACCACGGTAACTCGGCGGCCTTCCTCCGTTTCTAGGCCGCCCCGCAGCGCAGGCAGAGGGATTGTTTTGTTTTTGTTTTTCTAACTATTGGATCGCATCGTGAATGCTATTCCATCAGTTGCTCCTTTTTGTAACCTAACATGACGCGGGAGGCGGCTTCTCAGAGCGTTCCTTGTGTTTCTAGTTCATTGTGTTCCAAGCCCATGTGTGTCCAGGTAGTCGGGCCCTAATTTACCTGCTGGTGCCAGGCACATGGTGTCCATTTCAGCGAATAGGAATGTACAGGTGAGGTGGTGGGCGGGTGTGTCCGCCAGCACACGTGCTTTTATTTTATTTCACATATATGTATATATACGTATGTGTGTGTATGTATATGATTTCAGAGAGGAAGAGAGGGAAACATCAACGATGAGAGGGAATCATTGATCGGCTGCCTCCTGCACGCTCCACGCTGCGGATCAAGCTCTCAACCCAGGCCTGTGCCCTTGACCTGAACGGAACCTGGGACCCTTCAGTCCGCAGGCCGGTGCTCTGTCCATGAGCCAAACCAGCCAGGGCAACATGTGCTTTTATTTACCTAGAAGAGATTTCCACTCACGAGGTTAATTGACAGAATAGGTATGCATTTTTTAATTCAGAGAGTCAAAGTTCTTCTATCTGTTTTCTCTGCCTTTTCCAGGAATGTAGCAAAAAAACAAAAACCGATGACCCAGAGAATGCCTCAGTCGATGCCCCGCGTCCGGCCCAGGAGAACGGAGAGGCAAGTCGAGTTTTCCGTTTCGTGTCAGCCCAGAGGAGACAGCAGCTGCTGGCTTCTCCCCTTTGGGGCTCATGTCAACCCACATCCTCGCTTTGAGGAAAAGAGAAGGGAGACGTGAGTGGGTAACGCGGTGCCTCTGCCAGGGTCCAGGCATGCAGGCCCACCAGCGGGAGGCACACGGCCTCCCAGGTAAGAGGGCCGAAGAGACTCATCCCAAAATACAGCCGAACAGACTGTCACGGGAACAAAGGCGAATGTCACCTTGGTCATTTATCAGAGACAGTGGTGTGATGCTTAAACCTCCAGTTCCTTTTTTAAAACCAAAAGTTCCATTCTGTAAAACGGGGGTTTAGGTGGGTAACGTATTCAGTGATTCAATTGTCATGGTTCTGTAAATGCATTTTTCTAACAGTTTCTTCGCCAGCTCAGTTGTGGGTTTTAAATCCCGTCGAGCAGAGAGGAGGCGGCAGTGGGGAGGTCAGGGTCACTGCGGCCCTTAGAAAGTACTGGCACCCGTTCCCAGATGGGAGGCGGCAGCCCCGGAGAAGCGAGTGTCGGTCTCTGTGGGTCAGTAGCCCTGAGAGGACATTAGTTTGACGGGTGTCCGTCTGGTCCCTGTGCACCAGCACTGCTCTGCGCTCGGGCGACTGTGCGGCTCAGTGAGTAGAGGGGGTGAGACCAGCACCCAGGGTCTAGGGCAGAAAGCAGGGACTGCCTGGGCCCTGCATCCCCGAGCAGGGGGCCTGGGCCCGCTCCCCCCCGCCCCACACCTGCCCTCTGGCTGCATCACCTGGGGCAGCCATCTAACCCTGGGAGCCCAGTTTCCTTATCAGTGACACGGGGAGTTGGGTTACTTCTCCCCCTCCCCCCGGCTTTGGTTACGGCAAGATAACGTGTACATAGCCGAAGCGGGCCCCCCGCCAGGTCAGTGGGTGGACACCCTGTTAGGTTGGGCTTGCCAGGGAAGGGCTACTGGAGTGGGCCCTGGGGTTGTGAGAATTGAGGGGAGGTGTAGGAATGGTGGGTGAGTCCAGCAAGCACACAGGAGTGGACAGAACTGGCCTGGGGGAGGGGTGGTGGGAGCCACTGAGTCCGTCAGGGTACAGATCCGATGTGTTGAAGGGCGGCTTCGGCTGGCTGAGCAGAGGGGGCATCACAGGACGCCGCGTGGGAGGCAGGGTGTGGGGCCTGGGTGGGCGGCCAGAGTGGGCCCCTCTGCAGGGCCAGTAGGGCCAGGATTCTCGGTGCAGCTCAGCAGTCTCTCGAGCACCAGCTGGGTGCCAGGCTACGTGCTCCAGACTCTCCGACACCCCCACCCCATCACTGCGTTAGAAGTGCCAACCTTGGGCCCGTTCAGACCTCAGGCGAATGCCTCTGTGACATGCTGTCCTGGGGGAGCCGCACAGTGGCAGGCACGCGGGGAGGAGGGAGGAGGCGGCGCACTCCCGTCCTGCACGGGGGGGCCCTCCAGGGCCCTCTTCACCAGCTGGTGGTTGAAGGGAAATAAATGCACAGCTGGCAGGAGCGTTTGTTCATTTGTTCAGATGCTCCCGTAGGCTCCCGAACGCTCCTGTGTTCATCCACTAAACAGTCCTGAGCGGGGCCTCGTGGAGGTGCTGGGCAGCAGAGGTGAGGGTTCCTACCCCAGAGCTTACATGTCGTGGTGAGAGTCAACACATAAATGCTAGCTGGTCATCTGGGCTGTTTGGTAGGTGCCTGTGAGGACCCCAGGGGTGAGCTGGGCTCTTGGGGAGCATTTCTGGGCTCAGGGGTGACCCAGAGCAGTTTGGCTGGAAGTGAGAGCCAGGGAGTGACTGAGACAAGGGCCGTGAGTGGTTCGAGGCGAGGCCTCTGTGCAGAGGAGGTATGGCTGTGTTTTCGTTCATCTCGGGGTCCAGCGGACCTCAGGAGCGGAGTGCCAGGCGGCAGATGACGGGGCCAAAGGGGACCCCAGGGTTCGTAGCCTGGACATCCAGGTGAGCAGGTCCCTGTTATTGAGGAGGCCCGAGGGCCCGTGCACGTGCAGTGCCCGAGCCGGCAGTGAGCTGTGCCAGGTCAGCTCCCATGGGTGCTGGGGACCTGGGTGAACTCCCTGGGAGAGCACAGCGGGCCCAGAGCGGGAACCCCGAGGCAGCAGATGGGGGGCTGAGGGAGGAAGACTGGCCAGGACACAGGCGTGCCCCTTCCCTCCCCGGGGGCGTTCGGGCGGTGTCTGCATTGTGCCTGTGCTGCTACTCCCTGAAGACCACGTGGGAGAGTCCTTAGTGAAGAATCAGGCAGGACCCGTCTTTCTCTCGTAGAAGGGAGAATTCCATAAGTTGGCCGATGCCAAGATATTCCTGAGCGACTGCCTGGCGTGTGACAGCTGTGTGACCGCAGAGGAAGGAGTCCAAGTTTCACAGCAGAACGCCAAGGACTTCTTCCGTGTTCTGAACCTTAACAAGGTAAGGGGGCCCGTGCGCACTGGCACCCTGGCCTGGAGAGGGTGGGGGTCAGAGCAGGGCATGGCAGCCTCTGCTGGGACGTGCAGGCAGCCTGGCCCTGGGTCCCGTGCCCTCATCAACCCTCTGCAGGGTCCCTCCTCAGAGAAAAATCAGCCGGCCCCGCACACTCCCTCACTGACTGGGGCACTGGCTGTGGCCGGACCACCGGCCAGGCTCCCCGGATACGGGGCGGCTTCCACCGTGCAAGGTCCTGCCATGGGCGCCTGCCTGAGGTCTCGGGTCTTCAGAGGCCAGGCGGCTGCAGTTCAGCCTCTGGGGTGTTCTCAGGCGGGGAGTCCCCTGCCCCACTGTGCACGGGCGCCGAGCCCTGGCCCGCAGGGCAGCACAGGTGCCCGGAGCCCTGGGCGCAGCCTGGCTGGTGCTTGGACTGGTGCTGCGTTGCATTTGCAGGTACAGCCTGAGACAGTGTGTTCACCGCACAGAGCTCCTCCCACGAGCGTGCGGCTCGGTGCTGCTCTGTGGCCTTCGGTGAAGGGCCGCTCCCCCCCGTAGACGTGGTGTCGAGTTACCCTCCTTCTCCGTGTCTGTTTTTCTTTAAAATGATCGTTTTCCTCCAGATATGTGAACTTGTCAGTATACTAGTGTTCTTAAAGTCGACAAAATCTCTTGGGATGTCCCATGTTTTAACTGTAACTTTCCTTCAGTGATTGTGGCCAGTGTTTGCCACTTTTGCAGTCTTTGCCCAAGATGGCCCCCTACCTCCTGCCTGTCCTGGATCTCAGTGGATTGTCCCCACCACCTGTGTGACGTGCTTCTCTGTCTCTCCTAGAAATGTGATGCCTCACAGCACAAGGTGCTGGCAGTGTCCGTGTGTCCTCAGTCTCTGCCTTATTTTGCTGCTAAATTCAGCCTCAGTGTCACTGATGCATCCAGAAGGCTCTGCGGCTTCCTCAAAAGCCTTGGTGAGGTGCCTGTGGTGTCGGCGTGAATATAGAGCGGGAGCTTGTAACTGCCTTTTCATATCCAGAGTTCAGTTTTCCGGGGCTCGGGGTGGGTAATGTCTGTGACCCTGCCTCTGACCCACGGCGGGCGGTGGCACTTGCCCCTTGCCGTGCAGCTGGATGTTGCATTACTGCCATACGGCCCCTCCCGGAGTGGCGAGTGACCGGCTTTGGACAGGGTGGCCAGGGGTCACGTGTCCTGCTGCCCTGGCTCTCGGGGCCCCTGAGGTCATCTGTGTGGTGGGGAGTGACGGCTGCAGGGAGTGGTGTCTGGTCTCCTGGGAGCTCTGAAGAGCCGGCAGGAGGGAGCGGACTTTGTCCTCTGCGGCCTCATGTGAAGCAGGAAAGGCAGCAGCTCGGCGCACAGCAGGGACTCAGATGAGAGGCGCACTGGAGGGTACTGCCCAGCAACAGGAGGGTTCCCTTATCTGCTGGTGTCGGACTAGAACGGTCCCGCCCCTGGAGACTTCACGGACCTCCTGCAGCATCAGCGGGCGGGCTCCGGAGGGAGAACTTGAGCCATTTGCCAAAGAGCAGCTTTTGTTACCCCATGGTAGCTTTCAAAGACGTGAATGCACTGGGGACCACGGACACAACGAGATGAGCCCAGACCGAGCAGGGGTGCCGGTGCCTGGCTGCTCCTGGCGCACAGCAAGGCGCCGCGAGCCGGGCTCCTGTGCGGCCCTCCTCCATCTTAGAAGCCAAGGGTGTGCTTTGTTTCACCGCAGAGCGAGCTGTTAGGTGCCATTGATCTCAGAGCGAAAGGCCTTCCTTGGACGTTAAAAACAAACAAACAGTTGGGCATAATTTGTTACTGTTAATAATGAAGGGAGAGGTATTCATTGTGGGTCTGATTCCTTAAGGTAATGGTTTTAGATGACACTTAGAATATTTACTATATTTTTTATTTTATTTATTTACTTATTTTTTGTTGATTTCAGAGAGGAAGGGAGAGGGAGAGAGAGATAGAAACATCGCTGATGAAAGAGTCATTGATTGGCTGCCTCCTGCACGCCCCTGACTGGGGATCGAGCCTACACCTGGGCATGTGCCCTTGACCGGAATCAAACCTGGGACCTTTCAGTCTGCAGGCTGACACTCAATCCACTGAGCCAGACCGGCCAGGGCTACTATATTTCTTAAGAATAACTGGCTGCTTTTAAGATTTAGACTGGCTGTAGATACTAAATTTATTTGCTTAATTTGTTTTTAATTATTGAAAATACATTCTTTTGTCTCAAGCTTATTCACCAATAGTAAGAAAACTTATTAAGAAAAAGATAGCTAAGTAAAAATCAACATAAAATTAAGATCATCATAAGGGTGTACTCAGCCAGTTTGCTTGTTTTATTTATTTTAAAGATGTCAAGGACCATTACCGACCGAAATTTATTTAGACAGTGTGCTGCGAGTGCCTTGTAATATTCCGTTAGTTTACGTGAGGAGTACGGTGAGGTGCTTACAATAAGATGCAGGGAGAAAGACAGGAAGTAGGAGAGAGTAGGTATTTTATTATGAAAAACGTGCTATTGTTTTAAAAAAAGTGCAGTCCTATACTTAGCGATCAGTGATGGAGCCGAGAGCCGAGGTGACTGCAGTGCCCAGGAGGGAAGCATACAAAATCCGCTAAGCTTGTCCCTTCGTGTCCAGACGGAGAGGGACCCGGCGAGGGGTGTGAGCTGAGGCCCTCCTTCCGCAGGGGTGCACTATGTCTTTGACATGACGATAGCCGCGGACTTCAGCATCCTGGAGAGTCAGAAGGAGTTTGTGCGTCGGTACCGCCAGCACCGCGAGGAGGAGCCCCGGCTCCCCATGCTGACCTCCGCCTGCCCCGGTGAGCCCCAGGCCGCAGCCGGCTCCGCCGTACATTCTGGGGAGGCTGGACAGGTGTCAGCTTCGCCCCGTGGACAGAGTCGCGGGAGCTCAGGGTCCCAATGTGGGACGGGAAGCAGCCGGGAGGAACTGACGCAGCCCCGGTCTCTCCCCAGGCTGGGTCCGATATGCGGAGCGCGTGCTGGGTCACCCCATCACACCCCACCTCTGCACGGCCAAGTCTCCCCAGCAGATCATGGGCTCTCTGGTGAAGGATTACTTCGCCAGACGGCAGGTAAGCCGGCCTCTTCCCGGTCAGCACGAGTGGGGAGCCGGGCCTGCCCGTGGGGCTGATGGACAGGAAGTGAGGCGAGCCAGGGAGACGGGCGGAGCTGGTGGGAACGGGGCAGCGGCTGCAGCAGGAGCTGGTCTGTGGGAGACGGGGCTCCACCCAGAGCAGCTGGGCACCGAGGAGGCGGCCGGGCAGGGTGGCAGCTGGGTGGGTTCTTCTCCGCAGCCTGGGCAGTTCGCTCTGTCTCCACAGAACCTGTCCCCAGACAAGGTTTTCCACGTCATTGTGGCCCCGTGCTATGACAAGAAACTGGAGGCCCTCCGAGAAGATGTTCCCACACCTTTGCAGAGTTCCCGGGGTGCTGACTGCGTGTTAACCTCAGGTGAGAGGTGGGCAGGGCCGGGTGGGGGTGGCTCTGGCAGGACCCCGGAGAGTGAAGAGGGCAGCACTGCTGCCAGCGTGCGCACGTGCGTGGCCCAGGCTGAGGGAGAGACAGGGCGGTGGGGGCAGTCCCACCTCACCGTGGAGTTCTGGCAGCCCAGCCTGCGCAGGGGCACGAGTGAAGTGGAAACATACATGTGCTGTGGGGATGTCACTGCAGCCTGCGCAGAGCCCTGTGCTGGGATGCAAGGGCATCTTCGGTCAGTCGAGGGCAGCGTGAGTCGGGTGCAGAGGGGAGTCCAGTGGTTCTGATTTCCGGTTGGTCTCATTCGGGCCACAGGACATCTGTAATGCAGCACCCTCCCTTGAGGCTGTCACAGAGTCTCCGCTTGGAAACAAACACATGGATTGTTTGCAGAGAGCCCTCATTGCAAGAGCAGAAAGAGGAATATACGCTTCTCTTACATTTCATTTGCGTTTTGCATTTTATTGGTGTTACTTTGCACTTGAGATGGGCCCCCTGCTGTCTGTGAGGGGGACAACATCCAAGGTCACCTTGACCTAGAATTTCCTGTGGGGAAGAAGGTAACTTTGGAAACAGCCCGAGGACGTGTGGTGTCCACGGGGCCCACCGCCTCTCGCTTGTCTGTAGGTGAAATTGTCCAGCTAATGGAGCAGAGTGACCTGTCCCCGGACGATGCCCTCGTGGATACTCTGTGAGTGGCTTTTGCAGGGAGGCCGCCTGTGGATGGGCCTCCCGTGGGGTCTCTGGGGGGACAGGGCCTAGGGCCTCCCTGCTTTACTAGGGGGCTGTGTTGAGACGTGGGCACAGGGTGGCACCTGCCCCAGGCGGTTGCCTCAGGGAAATAGCAGATTCCTTGGGTCCCTTTGCACCCAGGGCAGCAGGCTGGGTTTCTGTGGTCAGTGGTGACCCCAACCAGTCACCGGTGCTCCTGCCGTGTCCTGGGCCGGAGCATCTGCAGAGCACTCCCGGGCCACTCGGCAGTCCTGCCCGCAGTGGCACCGGGACTATGTGTGGCCCTTGGTGGGAGGCTGGACTGAGGTTTACAGACTCTTAGCCACTCGAGTGCCCATGGCCACAGCCTGTGCTGGAGCCAGGCCAACCATGGACCCTGTCCTGGTGGGGCTTAGGCAGGCGTGTTCTTGAGCCCATCTCAGAGTCCCAGGACCCCCAGCCCGAGGTTCTGGGGACACCCTGAGGCATGTGCAGCAGCAAAGGGAAGTCACTGCCTGTGTAGCTGAGCACAGCCCACTGCAGCCTGGTGGGCACAGATGACCTCTCAGGCTGATGGGGTCCTGCTGGAGCTGAAGGGCTGGTGAAGGTCTTACTTCCCATGTGGCGGCCCCGGGTCATGACACTTTGAAATCTGCTGTAATTCTTGTCGCTTTTCTCTGCCTGACGAGGTTTGGAGACGTGAAGGAGGAGGAGGTGAGGCGCCACGAGGGTGCCAGCTCCGACGGGTACCTGGCGCACATCTTCAGGCACGCGGCCAAGGAGCTGTTCAACGAGGACGTGGGGGAGCTCACCTACCGCAGCCTGAGGTGCGTCTGCTCGTACGGTCAGCACGGCCTTTAGGGTAGATTCCCCAGAGCCGGTGTGCATGTTTGTGCGTGTGTTAGCGTGTGTGCATATGTGCGTGCACGTGTTTGTGTGCGTGCTGGGGCAGGGCTGTCCTGTTTGTATAGTGTCTCCACCATCAAGGTCAAAGGCCTTTCCTGCGTTCACTCGCAGACCTTCCCGACTCAGAGTGGAAATGACAAGCGGCTGAAGTGGACCCGGCAGCGAGTCCCTGTGTCTGTGTTACAGGAACAAAGACTTCCAGGAGGTTACCCTGGAAAGGGACGGAGAGGTGCTGCTGCGCTTTGCGGCCGCGTACGGCTTTCGGAACATCCAGAACGTGGTCCTGAAGCTGAAGAGGGGCAAGTTCCCCTACCACTTCGTGGAGGTCCTGGCCTGTGCCGGGGGTAAGACTCGCCCCCGGCGTCGTGGGAGTGGTCCCTCCGCGCCCACCCTGAGCCTCACTCGGTCTCCACGGCTTTGCCCTCGTTATGACACAGTGGCACCTCCCTTTCCTCACACCCACCTCGTGAGAAAGAGCAGGTACTCGGACATCACCTTGGAAACTGTGGTTCCAGGCTGAGGGGCCCCTGAAGGGCCTCAGGAGGGGTGTCCAGCACCCACAGTCGGGGCAGAGCTGGGCTGCCTCACCGCTGGGCTCTGCTGGGAAGTGAGCAGAGTCTCTGCCTCGGACAAGGGGGGAGAGAGGCCTAGCCAGGGCAGAACCGTGCTTCAGGTTCTCTTAAGTGAATGTTTATCCTGTGAATCATGACATCACCTAAGGCATTTGAGAGGACGCGGCTCCCGTACAGGAGGCCAAGCTTCCGGGCGTGTGGGCTCCTGGGTGCAGCGGGTGGGGGGCAGCGCACTGTGTGCTGCAGACACCAGGACACAGCTGCTCGTGCTGTGTCTGCTCCTGGCTCGCTGAGTTCCAGGGACGCGAATCCAGATGTGAGCACACAGCCCTCGGGTCGAAGGGCAGCGGATTATTGTGGTTTCAGGTAAAGGCGTGTCCTGGGCCATGGAAACAGGACAGAGCAGGGGCCCAGACCATGAGCCTAGGACAGGGCTCCCCAGGCCGCGGGCCACCGTGCACTCCCCTCCTGCCCCTTCCCTGCAGGACGGAAGGAGGGAGAGTGAGCTCCCGCCTGTGTCTTTCAGGATGCCTAAGCGGCAGGGGCCAGGCCCAGGCAGAGGACGGGCGTGCGGACAGGGCGCTGCTGCGGCAGATGGAAGGCATCTACGCCGCCATCCCGGTGCGGCCCCCGGAGACCAGCGCCCATGTGCAGGAGCTGTACCAGGAGTGGCTGGGTGGGGCCGACTCCCCCCGGGCCCAGGCGGCCCTGCATACCGCCTACCAGGGCCCAGGGCAGTCTGCCAGCAGCCGGGACATCAAGTGGTAAAGGTCCAGTAGGCGCCCGGCCTGCAGGCGCCTGAGGAGGGGTGTCAGACGCGTGAAGGAAAGGCTTAGTGTCTTTGTCATCGCTTTGGTTTTCAGAATTCCCTGCTCCAGTCAGGCAGATGAAGGCCGGCCAAACCGCGCACGATTGGGTGAGATGGCGTCCTCTGTGTCCGCCTCTCCCCTGTGGGCCTGGTCACTCCCTTCTGCTCTAGGGAGCCCTCTGCGTTCCACAACAGCGCGCTCTGCCCTCACGTGCCATCCGCCCTAAACGAGAAGGAAGAGAGCAGTTGGCCACAGACTGACAACACAGAGATCCGCAGCCACCACAGAGCCCAGCGCCCGTGCACGTCAGGGCCGCCTGTGGAGTGAGGCCTGTGGCGGCTGGTGTTGGTCTCCAGAGCACTTGGATTTTGTTACCATGTGGGCGACCTTCTTGAACCCTCGGCCTGTTAGATTTCCCTCATTCATGTGTTACTGTACCTGTGCACCCGTCTGGGTTGATAACCGGGACATTGTGTGAAATTATCTATTTTTTGCTTTCAATCTATTTACAGTGGGGTTTCATCCTCTGTGGTAACGTAGATCCATTTCTGATTATGGAATAAACAGTTGTAGTACCTGGTGTGGGGCACTGGGTGAATGATGCTGCTGTTCCCCCAGCCAGGGCTGCGTGTGCTCTAGGCTCCACCTCACGGGGTTGTGCTCCCTTTTACTGCCTGAGCCAAAAGCCGGCCCAGGGGCCGGGGCCTAGAGGGAATAGGAGGGGACAAAGGAGGAGGAAACAAAAGGGGAAGCCCTGTTTCCATACAAAACCGCTTACAGTATAAGTTCTAAGAATCTTACTGTTCGGTGGAGGGGGTGGGGGGTGGGACAAAAGGCACACACAGGTCCCACCGAGATTTGAACTCGGATCACTGGATTCAGAGTCCAGAGTGCTAACCATTACACCATGGAACCAGACACTGCTATGGGCCCTACACATTTTGATGGGGACACAGGAATGGGAGGGTTCAAAGGCTGAGCCTGAGCTGGCTTATGGGTTGGTATTGAAAAACAGGTTACCTTCTAGCAGAGGATGGGTTCTGGGCCCAGCTCACCCCACTGCCCATCTGCTGCATATGGTGTGGGTTGTGACTGACAGAGACGGCGCCCTCCTGCTGTGCAGCCGAGCGGGGGCAGGGCCCACAGGGCCAGGCAGGCGTCACTTCTTCCTTACAAAACTGCTTACAATGAAAGTGTTGAGAAGTCTTGCTGTCCAGCTTTATAACTGGAAAAACTGCAGTTTCAAAAAGAAACTCCCTTAAGAACATTCTGGATATCAATCTTTGAGGAAAAAAACCTGAATTTGTGTGGAAGCTTTTCATGTAAAAAGTGTCCATGGAGCTACTGCTGTAGATGGCAGGGTGTCCCCCCCTTGAACCAAGAAAAGCACCAGGAGAAAGAAACAGATGGAAACTTCCGGCGTCCAACTATGAGGATCAGCCAGGAGGAACTTAATGAACGACCTCAGTGAGCAGGGTTAAAGGAAGCCAGTAGGGGTGGTAAGCACCCCAAAACTAGCCCCAGCCACGAGTGGTCAGAATCCTGAGGACTGGGAGCAGTTCCCGGACCCTGTGGCACCTGAAGCCGACGTGCAGGCACCAAACCGGAGCCGAGGCTTTCTCAGCGGAGCACGTGGGCCAGGCCAGGCAGGAGGAAGCTGAGAGCCTGTCTTCCCGCTCCATGTCTCTTCTCGCCGGGGATCCCCAGGCACGCAGCCACTCGGCTCTTTTGCCCTCTGCTTCCTGTCGGTTTTAGGGCAGAGAAAGGTAGAGGGGGGTCTGGAGGGCAAACAAAAGACACCCATGAGGGCCAAAGGAAACAACCATAACCCAGGTGTACCACTGCCAAGGGCGTCGAAGGGAGGACCTGACGTGAAGGCCTAGGCAAAGCCAGCCCACGGGGCCTCTGCAGCACCCGTGACACAGCCAGCAGCCGTCAGTGGGCCCTGGGCCGAACTTCAGGGCAGACCTGCCGTTGCCATGGGGGGTGCAGCTCCCTGAAAGGCACCCACAGGGCTGTCTGTGAGCCTGAATCTCCACCACAAGGTAGAGGGTATCTTCTGAGTCTGAGAAATCCAGGCATACGTGCAGTCACAGGCGAAAGGTGGCCCCCCTGCGGGGCCCCAATAACACCAGGCTGGAGAATTAGTGTCCAAGAGCCTGGCCGATGAGACCTATGGATGGACTCTTTGGAACCGGCCCAGGATTTGAGAAGATTCATGGTCCACGTGAAAGCACATGAAAGGGCTCCCGTGCAGGAAGGCTCAATCATGCACAAATAATCTGCAGATGCCGGTCAGACTCTCCTGCCACCCTCATGATGCTAGTGGTTAAGTGTCGACCTATGACCAAAATGGCCTCAGACCCTCAGACCAAAATGGCCGTGGAGACAGGGAAGGAGACTAACTAGGCCCAGGCTTGACAACATGGACTCCTTTCCCCCCACCAAGCCTGCCTTGGCTGTGCCGCCTGCTTACATGTTTGGTGGCCAACAGTAAATCCCAATTCTGGTTGCGGGGGAGAGGGCACCAGCCGCCTGATGGCAGGTGACTTCACTGATCCTTTCCCACCAGTGCAAGATTGGGACTGGGGAGGGACGCGGGAGGTTGGCCACGTTGGAAGAAGCCCCATTCCAGCCCTTGAGTATTTGCGTTTGTTCAGGACCCGCGGTCATGGCACCCTCCACAACACCGCTCCTGGCCAAACCACAGGCTACAGCGACAGCGGCAGGCAGCGGGCCTTGGCCGGAGAAACCAAGTTTCCTTCCGGTTCCTCTCCATCTGCAGGCAGCTGCCTTGGAAAGAAGTGCCGGAGCTTATTCCTCTGACAACCTGGAAGTGAATTGCAGGAGCCAAGCGAGCAGCACTTTCCCACGCTTCTGACAGATACTGCCAACTGCTTACGCTGAGGGCACCCCGCGTTTCAGCTCTCAGCCCAGGTTGGATCCGCAGGCGGGGGCCGGCGTATTCATCCCGCACCGAAGCGCCGCGGGTTCGGAGAGCCCCCAGCCCCGACCCATCGCAGGCGAAGAATGGAGCGGACAGCGCGACGGGCGCTGGGACATGGCGCACGTGCCTTTCTCCGTTTCAGGACCAGCTAAGAGGTGCTCCGCAGGTGCGAGGCCCACCCGGGCCATCGGCGATCACGTGGGCGCCAGGTCACGTGCGATTGCGGACGTCATTGTCTTGGCGCCGGCGTGCTGCAGCCCCGCCCTTGCCGGAGCGCCCACGTCTGCGCATGCGCACCTGGCGCGAGGCCTGGGAGCCTGCGGGCGCCTTCGCCGGAAGGAGAGGGGTCGGAATCCAGGGACGGGGCGGCCTCAGGGTGCCCGCCCTTCGTGGGCCGTTGATTTACCACCAGGACCGTGTAGACAGCACCCTCGTGTTCCCTGCCCTCCCCCAGGTGCCCAAGTGCCCAGGGGCCCAGGTGTCCAGGAGCCAGGGCTCCGACATCCTCTCCACCTTATGTCCTGCTCAGGGGCCAGGAGGCCTCAAGCTCGTGCAGTTTGCAGCACCGTTTTTTTAAAAAAATGCATTTTTATTGATTTCAGAGAGGAAGGGAGAGGGAGAGAAACATCAATGATGAGAATCATGGATCAGCTGCCTCCTGCACGCCCCACACTGGGGATGAGCCCACAACCTGGACTGGTTCATAGGTCCACACCGTTGGGGCAGGGGCACCCTTTTTAAGAGAAAAAGTACAAAATTAGATACAAAGATGGAGATTGATTAGAATAAGAAAAGTAATCACAACAGTGACGTCTACAAAGCTGATCAATACCATAACTTCATACAATTAACTAAAACAATTAATTTTACTAATTAACTGCCTGGCACACTTCTAGTATGTTTTTTCCTGATTTTTTGGATGCAGACTTTGATGTGTCAATGATCTGAAAGAACTTTTGATAGAGTGAACAGGGACATAATTCAGTCTTTGCAGGGTTGGTCGCATTTTGATTTTTATTAATACTTTAGAAGAGACTGTCAGCTTTGCATTCTTCCTAGTAATGCAACATAAACTGTTAGGATTGCTATCCAATTTGGCCAAACCTCTCCTGTAAGAGCCAGGGGATTTCAGGTGTTTCAGGGGTCTGGCACGGCCTGGTCTGCAATTTCCCCTGGCCTCAGAGTGGCTAGTTATGAGCTTTGTGTCATTGTGTTTGTTTTGTCTTATTTAAAATATATTTTTATTGATTTCAGAGAGGAAAGGTGAAGGAGTGAGAGATAGAAACATCAATGATGAGAGAGAATCATGGATCGGCTGCCTCCTGCACGCCCCACGCTGGGGATCGAGCCCACAACCCGGGCCTGTGCCCTGACCAGGAATCGAACCGTGACCTCCTCCTGGTTCATAGGTCGACACTTAACCACTGAGCGACGCCGGCCTTGTGTCATTGTTGGTAGCAGCGTTCCGTGTCAAATCCGGAAGAAATGGGAACTGCTTTCTTTTTGTGATTCACTCGCCTTCCCTTCTGCCCGTTTCCCGGCCCTTTGAGGAGCCCGCGTGCTCATACGTGATTTGTGTGCCCAGGTAGCCGCGGCCGGTGCTCTGTGGAGATTTAGTGACTTCAGAGGGTTCTGAAGATACCGATCTGAAAGTCTGTCTGGTGTAAGTGCTGTCTGTCTGGTTGAAAACCGAAGACAAGCAGAACAATGCAAGCAGCCTTTACTCGTGGAATAGGTGAACATCACTGGGCAGGTTTCCTGGTAAAGGTAACGTTTTCCCAGTGTTTTGAGAATCATCTCTTTGGACTGTTGTGTGTTTTAGTTGATTCTCTGTCACTGGGATCACAACGTTGAACTCATGAATTTTTCACTAAATAGTGTTGGGGAGACAGGCATGATGAAACCTCCATGCTTCCAAGTCAGTGGAGTCTGACCCCCAGGCGTGCGTCCGTCCTGCGTTACCATCCCCTTCCTTCCGCTTTGCTTTTCCTTCTGCTTTCTTGCTTCCTGTTTAGGAGTGTCCTGGTTCTCACAATATCTTCCATCTCTGTGTTGTCATTTTCATTAATCATATTTTCTTTGCAATCATAATTCATTTCCTTCGTTATTTTGACTGTGGCTGGTTTTAGT